TAATATACCACGTAGATCATATGAAAAATGATCTACGAACACCCTACCCTTAAATATGTCATAATATTGCAATATCACAATATTGCACTATCACAATATTGCAATATGTCTATATTGTTATATTTGATAGTTATTGTATATAATTATATGATGAAATTATATTGTTATTATATTGATATTATAATTACATCATTTTAATTTGTGCTCATTTATATTTTACATATATATATATATTGTATATAATGATATAATAAAATTGTATTATTATAATATATAATTACAATTTTATTTTAACTTGCATACTTTATAGATTAAAATATATTGATATATCTATTTATATTTTACATATATATAAATATTAATAAATTGATCTTGCAAATTTTGTAAAAAAATTAAAGATGACTGAAAATTTTAAAGGAAAAAAGTGCCAAGTTGAAATAAATAATAATTCTAATAATGAAAGTACAAATGAACTAGTTGAACACCAATTTATAGGTATTTGGAAAGAAATTGAGCTTGTTGAAGAAGTATCATGAGGAATTTATAAAGGAATATATATTCATTGTAATAAAGAGTTTAAATGTGCCAAGCATATTAGAACTAAAGCTCATATTGCACATGAATGTCCAAATTGTCCTGAATATATTAAATGATATGACAATTATATAATTGCAAATAACCTTTTTGATGATCCTAAAGTAGAAGATTATTCTATTCTACCAAAAGCTAATTCTGAAGCCAAGTTATCTAAACCTATGGTTAAACTTACAATTAATAGAAAAAAAATCAAATCAACAAATTTTCAGAACCAGGCAAGATAGAAATTGATGAAACTTTAATTGCAGCATTTGTTTCTTGTGGATTACCTTTTAATATTATTAAAAATCCATTTGTAATCAAGCTTCTTAAAGTTCTTTGTCCAGAATATAATCCACCATCATGTGAAGTATTAGTAGGTAAAATCTAATAATGAATAATTTTTTTAATTAATTTTAATAAAAATTTAATTTTAAATTTAATTTTATATTAGGTTGCTTGTTAGATACACAAGTAGCTCGAGTTAATATAAAAATAGAACAAACGATTAGATCAACTTCGAATTTAATAATTTGTATTGATGGTTGGACAAGTCAAAACAAAACATCATTATAGTGTTTTATAATTCTTACTTCTGATCGTAAAGAGTATATTTATCGAATTGCTGACTATTCAAACTATTTACATATAGGAGAGTTCTTGGCACAACAAGTTCAACAAGTTTTTGAAGAAATTGGGCCAGAATGAGTAGCAGCAATTATTAGCGATAATGGATCCAATGTTAAACTTGCTCGAAAATTAACTAAACAACAATATAAACATATTATAAATCTTAGATGTATAGCGTATACTATAAATCTAATTTCTAAAAACATTCTTAAGCATACATTTGCTTGTCAATTAATTAAAAAAGCCAATTTAATTGTTAAATATTTTAACAAATCTTATATGGCAAGTAACTTACTAAGAACTTTAATGAAAAAATATAATATTGTTGGTGGTGGACTCAAAGAAAATGTTGAAACAAGATGAATTACATTTTATGAATATATATCTTCAATTGTTTATCTTAAAAATTGTTTAGAAAAAATTAGAGATGAATATACTTAACATATTTTAAATAAAAAAGTTATTGCTATTTTAAAGGATCGTAGTTTTTTTGATGATACACAATATTTAGCAAATATACTTTTTCCAATTAAAAATGCAATTCTTGAAGTTGAAGAAAATCAATCTAATCTAGCAGATTGTTATATTGCTCTCTTAAAAATCGGTGCTACAATTACAAAGTTATTTCAAGATGAATATAATGAATTTAGAAACTATTGCACTCAAGTATTTAATAGATGATACAATAAATTTAATGAACTGAATTATCTTTTAATATTTTTTTTACATCCAGTATATAAAGGAGCAGGGCTTAAATTTAGAATATTTCCCAAAATTGCATCTTATGCTGGTGTTTTATAGAAATCTTTAAGAAAAAATCAGGTAAGTTTTGAATTATTAATAACTCAACTACAAGAATACAAATTGCAAAAAGATCCTAATGGACTACCAAATACATATTCTATACCTTACTCATTTAATTAAGATACTTCATTAAGTTGGTGAACAACCTGTGAAGTAAATCCAAATCAATTACAATATCTTGCACTGTGACTTTTTTCTATTACACCAAGTAGTGCAGCTTGTGAATATACATTTTCTACTTTAAATTGGCTTTATAGAAAACGCCATCAACAATTAAATATATAAACTTTAAAAAATATTGCAAAAGTTTATCACTTTAAGGGTAGAGTGTATGTTGATCATTTATCATATGATCTCAGTGGTACAACGGGATTTTATGCATAAATTAAA